TGAAAGATTTGACAGGCATCTAGAGGCGTCTTTTCCCGAATTTTTGTGATAAATACCACTATTGTACTTCGAAGATTGAATTTATAGAATTTTTTCTATAAGAACGTTAAAAGTAACAAGTATTTTTAAGTTACTCTTACGTAACGAGTTTGTCGTGATTTCACACAGTAGGTTTTTTAAAGATAACAGCGGCGTAGCCTTAAAATTGTTGAGGGTATTTTTTTAGGCATATTAACCCCTTAAAAATATATTTTTTCTATTCGGCGCCTACTGCTAACCAAATTGAAAGGCACATTTTTACGAATGTGTCAGATATTTATGTAAAATGGGATTCAAAAATACTCGTTACTTTTCACGTTCTTACGGAAAAAATTCTATAAATTGCATCCTTCGACGTACAATGGTCTTATACTATGTTTATACGATAGCAATCACGATTTCTTGAAAGCGCGAAATAGAAATAACCCCTGTTTATACGACAGCCGAGAATTCATGCTTTTATTCACTCTCAGCTGATAGGGATGCCGGACCGGCAAAAATATCTAATTTTTAATACCACTGATTAGAGATATAGCCCATAAAAGGCCTTCAATTTCTAGCAATCTGGCAACGTCGATCATTTTTTACAGAGTTACCATACTGCATATCACCAAATCACGCTTTTGGGCTGAAATCATAGTCAACTTTCGTGTGTTGCCGAATTCACGAAATGGCGTTTATACAAGCACGAATCGGCCGAAAGCGTGAAATGATAGCGTGAATTCGGCATCGTATAAACACAGTATTATTTGTCTTAAAAATTCGGTGAAAGAAAGAACGCATTGCTTTTGTGTGAGTGCGAACATGCACGAATTTGCCTGTGTGCGTGACGTTTTTCAGCTTGACAGTGTACATGTGCGTCGAAACGCTGCAGCGCGCTTGCAGAGCAGCGGCAGAGAAATTGCCTATCCCGTGGGCCCTGCGCGCTGCCTCTGCTGGCCACCACTGCTCTAGATGTCTGTAAAATATTTTAGGGCACATATTTTTCCTTGTATTTTTATACCCTTGCAGAGGGTATTATGATTTCAGTCAGAAGTTTGCAACGCAGTGAAGGAGACGTTTCCGACCCCATAAAGTATATATATTCTTGATCAGCATCACTAGACGAGTCGATCTAGCCATGTCCGTCTGTCCGTCTGTCTGTTTCTACGCAAACTAGTCTCTCAGTTTTTTAGCTATCGGGACGAAACTTTCGCAAAAGTCTTCTTTCTATTGCAGGTAGTATATATGTCGGAACCGATCGGATCGGACAACTATATCTTATAGCTCCCATAGGAAGGATCGGAAAAAAAACTTTAAAAAATTCTAGCTTCGGTGTTTTTTGAAATATTACCTTCTACTTTTGGGGATGTTATTTTTTAAATATTTCTGAATTTCGAATTTCGAATATCTTCTACTCTAGGATATGACTCTTTTTAAATATTTCCGAATTTCAATTTTAATTTGATAAAAATCGGACGACTATATCATATAGCTGCCATAGGAACGATCGGAAAATTAATGAGAAATATTAGAAAATTGAACATTTTTCCGATTTGTTAATTAATAGGAATAATCTGCAAGGGTATATAAATTTCGGCTGGCCGAAGCTACCTTCCTTTCTTGTTTTAAACCTGTTCACCGCATCAAGTTGGTTGGTAATAGAGATGAACAAATTACTTCAATGGCTCATAGGCTTTGATTAAATCAAATTACGATGGAACCTTAAATGCAATTATGTAAAAGCAATTTTTTGGTATAGGTATTTTTATACCCGTTACTCGTAGAGTAAAAGGGTATACTAGATTCGTGCAAAAGTATGTAACAGCTAGAAGGAAGCGTTTCCGACCCCATAAAGTATATATATTCTTGATCAGGGTCACTAGCCGAGTCGATCTAGCCATGTCCGTCTGTCCGTCTGTCCGTCTGTCCGTCTGTATGAACGCTGAGATCTCAGAAACTACAAAAGCTAGAAGGTTGAGATTTCCCACACATATTCTTTGGCTTCCTACGCAGCGCAAGTTTATTTTAGCCGAGCGCCACGCCCCCTCTAACGCCCACAATCGCCCACTAACGATTTTAAAATGGGTCCTGCGCCCACATCTTTAAAGATTTTCGAGAAGTATAAATGCAATTTTGTTGTGTATATTTATACCTATCGAAATGTAGAAGACATTTTTCAAATCGGACCATTCATTAAAAAGTTATACGCAATCAAAAATTATATATCTATCTCCCTCGCACTCCCTTTAGCTGAGTTACGATTATTAGTCGGGACACCAACCCGACACAGCGTTCGCACTCCCTTTAGCTGAGTGACGGGTATTAGATAGTCGGGACAACAACCCGACTATAGCGTTCTCTCTTGTTATAATTGAGCACAGACCCCCGAAGATATCTTAAATCAAAACATTTAATGTTGCTATTTTTTTCAAACCGCGATTGCCCAAATACCTCCCGTTAAACGCGAAAACTAAGTACGCTTATATACCTCTATATTAACATATTTAAATATATAGGCCTGCACCTTTTAATAAAGTCCATTTTGTTGACCAGTGTAATCGTAATTTGCAAAAATGTCACAGAATAATGGACCGGTTTCATCGACCCTAAAAACTTAAATTTTTATACAGCGTTCTTTCTTGTTTTCTTTTGTAAATGTGGAGGGTGATACGTGGATTTTAAGATATAGTTTCTTTTGCAATAATGCTTAGAATTTTTCATAGAATTTCCTAGTCTAATACATACATATTTATTCTAACGCAATTTATATTATGTGTAGTATATAGTAAAATAGTAAATAGCTTTAACACAAAATTAAATAAAAAACTGAATATAAACCTATTTATTTTCGGTTTACCGATTGCCATCAATAAAAAAACGGAATACAAAAGAATAATAAAAAGAAAATGTTGTTTAAGGTTCAAAAAAAGTTGGCGCTAGGACTCGAGCCGACGCACAGTGGCGCCTTTTGACTTTTTTTTTAATTCATAACTTTTGAACCAATATAATATTTTTACATTTTTTCCCGATTATTCCTACACACAAAAAAATTTGCTTGGTAAAATTGACCAACAAAGATAGTTACGTAACTATTAAAATAGTCACGTGTATTTTGTTTTTGCTTTGGGTTTGTGTCTTTGCTAATTGTGTGTATTTTGTTGTTGTGAAATGACTATTTACTTAGTAGAATTGACAATTTTGCTGGTTGGGGCCTGTTTGACAATTATTACAGTTGATTTTACCAAGTTTTTTTTTTGTGTGTAGGGCCTTATTATTCTTATAGCCTTCCTATGGGAGCCATTAGATATAGTGGTCTGATTTGGCTCGTTCCAACATACATATATACTACAAGCAATGGATAAGACTTTTGGGAAAGTCTTATAGCTTTAAAACTGAGTTCGCATAAAAACGGACAGACGGACATGTCTAGATGGCTATTTGGCTATTGATGCTGATCAAGAATATATATAGCGTTTTCTTTGGTCTTAGCATTAATTTTTCTCTCCTTCCTATGGCGGTTAGAAAATATTGTCGTCCGATTATTGTTAAATTTAATTCAAAATTCTGAAATATTAAAAGAGTCAAAACCCAGGTAGAAGGGAAAAATTTTCCGATCGTTCCTATGGCAGCTATAAGGTATAGTTGTTCGATCTGGCTGGTTCCGCCTTTTATACTACCTGCAAAAGAAAAAAGACTTTTGGGAAAGTTTTGAGAGACTTGTTTGTGTAGAAACGGACACACAGACGGCCGGACAGACGTTCATGGCTAGATCGACTCCTCCAGTAATGCTGATCAAGAATATAAATACTTTATGGGGTCGGAAACGTCTCCATCACTGCGTTGCAAACTTCTGACTGAAATCACAAATCTGATATTTATGGGGGTTACAATTATCTGTCCATTCATACAAAAAAAATCTTGGTAAAATCTACTGTTATAATAGTTAGTTAGTTGGTAGAATTGAACTTTTTTTGTGGTTGGGGACTGTTTGACAATTTTTTACCAAGTTTTTTTTGTGTGTTGATGTACATTACAACTTTATAGGCCAAAATCGAAAATTTGATTTACTGCACGTTTTTTGGCCCAAGGCGCCACTGTGCGGCGTCGATTCGATTTCTCACAAAACGCTTTGACTGTCTGCGCTACACTCATAAAAAATCGAAGAATTTCCATAAAATCTACAAAATTCTTTCTTAAACTTTTGCCAAAGGCAACCTCAAATTTGTTTCAATAAATGGTTTCTTAAAAAGGCACCTTTCAAACAAAAAAAAAAATTCTTAAAACAAGAAAATAAATAAATAAATAAAATAATTTCTTAAAACAAGAAATGGTTTTTTAAAAAGGCACCTTTCAAACAAAAAAAAAAATTCTTAAAACAAAAAAAATAAATTCTCTCTTTTAAGGCTGCATTTTTACCAGGAAAGAAATTAAATATTTGTGTATCTATGATTGATGAAGTGATGCGGGATGGGGTCTACAATCGATAACACAACGGGTATACCGGAATAGTCTAATCCCTTGGCTCTGAAAGCTTGCATATATATTCATCTCGCTCTCAGAAGCGGATTGGCTGAAATAGTCGTTAGCCAATCGTGTGGCATTAAATATATGTGGCAAGGGGGTTGGTGTGACGAAGTGACGTATAGAAGCGGAGTTCGCTTAGAAAGTCCGAACGAAGTAGGTAAAGGTTTTGGTAGTTCAGTCATTTGAACCCCTCTAAAAGCATCGTTCGTTCGCCACTGGGGTTCGTTACCCAGCATATCTCATGTGTGGTAAATCTGTACGCTTGCCAGCCCAGCTTTTGTACTCACATGCGGAATACAACACTTATACGTCTGTTTCGGTAGAAAACTACATATGTACATATGTTAGAGTAAAGAGAAAACTAATTTTAATTTTATACAACATTTTTTTTATTTAGGAGTGTTTGTTTATGTTTATGTATTTTATTGTACGCAGTGAACTGGGATTAATTGCAGGTATCATCCATTAACCGAGTCTTGCGCAACTTGGCCTCACAGAAGGAGCAGCAAGCGCAGCAACAAAACGAGTCTGTCTATGAGAAGCTTCGCATGTTCAATGGCCAAACGGGCGGATGGGCCTGGTATCCAAGCAATACAACGACGGCACATTTGACCCTGCCGCCAGCAGCTTCAGTTGTCTCAACTCCAACAAATTTATCGGGACAAGTCAACCGAGACGAGGTTCAAAAAAGAGGCAAGTAAAAAGAAAAAAATGTAAATATAAAATTTATATAAAATTAAAACAAACAAGGCCAAACCTCGACTTTCAGGTGCCGCTTACCTTGATAACCAATTTAAAAGTAAATAAGTCTCAAGATAGCGTCACTTCTAAAAGTGAAGAGACTGACTAAATTTAGCGACTTGTGGGCGGTAGAGTGGGGATGCCAATTGGCTGAATCAAAATTCCAGTACGAATACCTAGAATCTGGACTATTATTCCCAACTTTCTACACACAAAAAAAAAACTTGGTAAAATCAACTGTAATAATTGTCAAACAGGCCCCAACCAGCAAAATTATCAATTCTACTTAGTAAATAGTCATTTCACAACAAAAAACAAGAGAGAACGCTATAGTCGGGTTGTTGTCCCGACTATCTAATACCCGTCACTCAGCTAAAGGGAGTGCGAACGCTGTGTCGGGTTGGTGTCCCGACTAATAATCGTAACTCAGCTAAAGGGAGTGCGAGGGAGATAGATATATAATTTTTGATTGCGTATAACTTTTTAATGAATGGTCCGATTTGAAAAATGTCTTCTACATTTCGATAGGTATAAATATACACAACAAAATTGCATTTATACTTTTCGGAAATCTTTAAAGATGTGGGCGCAGGACCCATTTTAAAATCGTTAGTGGGCGATTGTGGGCGTTAGAGGGGGCGCGGCGCTCGGCTGAAATAAACTTGCGCTGCGTAGGAAGCCAAAGAATATGTGGGGGAAATCTCAACCTTCTAGCTTTTGTAGTTTCTGAGATCTCAGCGTTCATACAGACGGACAGACAGACAGACGGACAGACGGACATGGCTAGATCGACTCGGCTAGTGACCCTGATCAAGAATATATATACTTTATGGGGTCGGAAACGCTTCCTTCTAGCTGTTACATACTTTTGCACGAATCTAGTATACCCTTTTACTCTACGAGTAACGGGTATAAATACACACAATTAGCAAAGACACAAACCCAAAGCAAAAACAAAATACCCGTAACTATTTTAATAGTTACGTAACTATCTTTGTTGGTCAATTTTACTAAGCAATTTTTTTTGCGTGTAGCTTTTGAAGTTTCCGGAATCTCATGTATTGTTTTCAAATAAAATAAATTTACCAAATGAATGCATTAAAATTATAATAAAAATGTCACTGACTCCCAATATTTACATTTTTGAGCGAAAACATTTTTGAGTACACGCAAAAAAATTTGCTTGGTAAAATTGACCAATGAAGATAGTTCAGTAACTATAAAAAATAGTACTTTAACAATAACAAGAAAGGAAGCTACCTTCGGCCAGCCGAAGCTTATATACCCTTGTAATGTAAAGTAATGCTCACTCGGTGCAGTTCCAGGGATTCCAGATTCAGCGTTTCTATTTTAATTTTGTTTATACATAAGTAGTCAAGAATCAAAACGCCTACTTCCTACAAAGTTACAATGAATTTTCTTATATTTGTTTGAATATTCCTATGCGAGCCTTAAGATATAGTGGTCCGATCCCGCTCGCTCCGACATATGTACTACCTGCAATAGAAAGAAGACTTTCGGGAAAGTTTAATCGCGATGGCTTTAAAACTGAGAGACTAGTTCGCATAGAAACGGACAGACGGACATGGCTAGATAGACTTGGCTATTGGTGCTGATCAAGAATATATATACTTTATGTGGTCGGAAACGTCTCCTTCACTGCGTTGCAAACATCTGACTGAAATTATAATACCCTCTACAAGGGTATAAAAAGAGTCGTCCGTGTATTTGTTTATGCGTTGCGTAACGTAACTTCTTTAGTATAAAAGTATGCAAAAGTAATTTTACAAATCTTCTGCGATGCCTTATTTATAATTCCCAACTGGGTCTAGCCCTTCATGATCCAAGCCCAAGTCAGATTCTGAGTCATTAAGACTTATTTTCTATCTTAAGTCTTTATTATACTTCCACACTAGCTGGAAGTCACTTTTGGAAAAGGTAATTGGACCATTTCAATATTCCTTATAAATTACTGTGAAATAACTGTAAATAATTGTATATTTACTATAAAAAATAGTAAGTTAACTACAATTAATGGTTGGGGCACATTCTACCCTTTCTTACAGTTGCATAACTATTTTTTATAGTAACCCTTACGTTTACGAATTACGTAAGAGTAACAATTTACTTAGTAGAACTGACAATTTTTATGGTTGGGGCATGTTTGACAATTATTTGTTAATTTTTATAATAATAATTTTACCAAGTTTTTTTTTGTGTGTATATACATCACCGTGATCGGCAGCTCATTAGGGTTGTTAAAAAATCGATAGCCAAAAACATCGATAGTGTGGAAAATCTCAACCTTCTAGCATTTGTAGTTTCCGAGATCTCAGCGTTCATACACACAAAAAAATTTGCTTGGTAAAATTGACCAACAAAGATAGTCACGTAACTGTTAAAATAGTTACGTGTATTTTGTTTTTGCTTTGGGTTTGTGTCTTTGCTAATTGTGTGTATTTTGTTGTTGTGAAATGACTATTTACTTAGTAGAATTGACAATTTTGCTGGTTGGGGCCTGTTTGACAATTATTACAGTTGATTTTACCAAGTTTTTTTTTTGTGTGTACAGATAGACGGACGGACATGACTAGATCGACTCGGCTAGTGACCCTGATCAAGAATATATATACTTTATAGGGTCGGAAACGCTTCCTTCTCCCTGTTACATCCTTTTGCACGAATACAATAAACCCTTTTATAGAGAAGTTTTTAGCTCTTTTTACTTTTACTCTACGAGTAACGGGTATAACGACGATTAAAAGAATTTGAATTTACAAGAAAAAATTTTCTTACGATCAATAATTATTTTGTCTTTCTAAAGGTCTTAATTTAAATGAAAATCTATAATTAAAAGATTTGATCAAATTTAGACTAATTGGAAACTAGTTGCGTATTTAGTTGACTGCTGAGCGGAGGGGTAACATGTCAATGCTGAAATTTCCCTCCTCACTATTAAAATAAATGGACCTTTGCTAAATAAAATTCAACCCCCTTTACTCATAGCAATCAAACAATTGCAAGTATTTTGTCACAGATGAACAAACATCAGGGCAAACAAATAGTTAATTTGTTGGTCATTTGTTGTTTGCTATTAAGTCTTATTGAAGCAGCTATTTTGTTCCAGCTTCTGAACTGTTTTTGTTTTTCTTCAATCAATAAATTGTGCTAACATATGTCTTCATTGCCAGTAAACATCCACAGTCCCCTTTTATATCATTCAATTTAATCTAATGTCGTTCCTTTGTCATGATTGCAGCGTCTACCAACAAGAATACAAGCAAGAATAGGAAAGAGTACCCTAAGCAGGACTAACAATTTTTTTTTGCATCTGGATTATGGTTCATATAGAGTGTCTACTGGAATGGAGAACAAAATAAGTGTATAAAATGGAAACACGCTTTGTACCGATGTTAGAAATAGAATAATAATTAAAATGCGTTATTTCTGTCAATACCTACTAGAGACCTGCACGATACGATGCCGGTTCCACGAGTAAAAGTTGGCGATGCCACGATTATTTATACCCGTTACTCGTAGAGTAAAAGGGTATATTAGATTCGTGCAAAAGTATGTAACAGCTAGAAGGAAGCGTTTCCAACCCCATAAAGTATACATATTCTTGATCAGGGTCACTAGCCGAGTCGATCTAGCCTTGTCCGTCTGTCCGTCCGTATGAACGCTGAGATCTCGGAAACTACAAAAGCTAGAAGGCTGAGATTTTCCACACATATTCTTCCTACGCAGCGCAAGTTTATTTCAGCCGAGCGCCGCGCCCCCTCTAACGCCCACAATCGCCCACTAACGATTTTAAAATGGGTCCTGCGCCCACATCTTTAAAGATTTCAGAGAAGTATAAATGCAATTTTGTTGTGTATATTTATACCTATCGAAATGTAGAAGACATTTTTAAAATCGGACCATTCATTAAAAAGTTATACGCAATCAAAAAAAAAACTTTATATATCTATCTCCCTCGCACTCCCTTTAGCTGAGTTACGATTATTAGTCGGGACACCAACCCGAGTACAGCGTTCGCACTCCCTTTAGGTGAGTGACGGGTATTAGATAGTCGGGACACCAACCCGACTAAATATTGAAATTTTTAAAGTCGCCATTGTGGGCGTTAGAGGGGGCGTGGCACCCTTTTGAAACAAACTTGCGGTGCGTAGGAACTCCTAGAATCTGCATGCAAAATCTCAATCTTCTAGCTTTTATAGTTTCCGAGATCTCAGCGTTCATACGGACAGACAGACGGACAGACGGACATGGCTAGATCGACTCGGCTAGTGATGCTGATCAAGAATATATATACTTTATAGGGTCGGAAATGCTTCCTTCTAGCTGATACATACTTTTGCACGAATACAATATACCCTTTTACTCTACGAGTAACGGTATAACTAGCTAATTCAAGCATGCTCAACTTTAAAATGCAGCTTTGGATAATATCTATGGGGAAATATTTATTTTCCAATGTTTACTTGACTAAAATATTTTAAAACGTTAGTGTTTTCCAAATTATTTATGCATTGTAGAAATTTATTTACGCACTACGAAGTTAATGTAAGTGTGACCACCGCATATAAAGCGTTATAATACCACTGTATACCAGAAATACAACAAAAATACAACTTTACAGCCATACCATTTTTCGAAGACTTTTCGATGTCCCATTTGATATGAAACAAGAAAGAAAGCTAGCTTCGGGCAGCCGAAGCTTATATACCCTTTCAGATCTTACAAATCGCAAAAATTTTAAATTTTGTATTATTATACCCGTTACTCGTAGAGTAAAAGGGTATATTAGATTCGTGCAAAAGTATGTAACAGGTAGAAGGAAGCGTTTCCGACCCTATAAACTATATATATTTTTGATCAGGATCACTAGCCGAGTCGATCTAGCCATGTCCGTCTGTCCGTCTGTCCGTCTGTCTGTCTGTATGAACGCTGAGATCTCGGAAACTACAAAAGCTAGAAGGTTGAGATTTTCCACGCATATTCTTGGGCTTCCTACGCAGCGCAAGTTTATTTTAGCCGAGTGCCACGCCCCCTCTAACGCCCACAAGCGTCCACTAACGATTTTAAAATGTGTCTGGCGCCCACACCTTTTAAGATTTTCGAGAAGTATAAATGCAATTTTGTTGTGCATATTTATACCTATCGAAATGTAGATCAAATCGGACCATTCATTAAAAAGTTATACGCAATCAAAATTTCTATATCTATCTCCCTCGCACTCCCTTTAGCTGAGTTACGATTACACTATGCAGCATCAAAAATTTACCTCGATGGATACTATATTTTTGGATTTGTTACGAATTCCAAAGTTAAACTGCGTTTTCCAAAAAGTTCACCGACGCAAGGATTCTTAGCAAAAGGACCTCAAAGTTCGAAAAATTCCAAAATTGGCCAACTTTCCAAAGCTCTCAGAGGCAAACGGATTCATGGCTTGGTTAGATGCTAAAGTTTTATAAAATAAACACTCTTTATCTTTCAAACCCCATACTTTGAATAATTTTAGGATTTTTATTAAGGGAGAAACAAGTTTTAGAAAACATAGTCAAAAAACATAAAAGTATACAGCTGCGGTCAAAATAGTAGTAGTGTTGCCGTCATGTGTTTTTAAAAGTTTTTTGTTGTCACTTTTCTTATCCAATTAGTCTAATAGTACAATTATAATCAATACAATATCACCAGAAGAAGATGAATTACAACAACAAACTTTTAAAAACACAGGGCGGCAACACTACTACTATTTTGACCGCAGCTGTACGTTTTTAAGTTTTTTGACTATGTTTCTGGAATCTATTTCTGCCTTAAAAAAAATCCTAAAATTATTCTAAGTATGGGGTTTGAAAGATAAAGAAGGTATCTTTTAAAAAACTTTAGCATCGAATCAAACCATGAATCCGTTTGCCTCTGAGAGCTCCGGAAAGTTGGCCAATTTCTTCATTTTTCGAACTTTGAGGTCCTTTTGCTAAGAATCCTTGCGTCGGGGAACTTTTTTGAAAACGCAGTTTATCTTGGGAATTCGTAACGAATCCAAAAATATAGCATCCATCGAGGTAAATTTAAAAAGCACTAAAAATGCTGCACAGTGTTATTAGTCGGGACACCAACCCGAGTACAGCGCTCGCACTGAGTGACGGGTATTAGATAGTCGGGACACGAACCCGACTATAGCGTTCTCTCTTGTTTTAGTATTATTTTTTTCATCCTTCCCTACTGCAGCTATATAATATAGTCGTCCGATTTTTGTTAAATTTAATTCAAAACTCTGAAATATTAAAAAAATCATATCCTAGAGTATAAGAGAATACAATAAAAACCAACGGAGCTATAATTTGTTTCCAATTAATTTTCCATTAATTTTTCAATCGTTCCTATGGCAGCTATATGATATAGTCGTCCGATTTTTTAAATATTTTTTTCGAAATTCGGAAATGTTTAAAAAACAAGAAAGGAAGCTAGCTTCGGCAAGCCGAAGCTTATATACCCTTGCAGATCATTCTATTAATTTACAAATCGCAAAAATGTTAAATTTCTTATTATTTCACATTAATTTTTCGATCGTTTCTATCACAGCTATATGATATAGTAGTTCGATCTTTTAAAAATTAAAATCGAAATTCGGAAATATTTCAAAATAGTCATATCCCAGAGTAGAAGGAACTGTAATAAAAACCAACAAAGATATAATTGTTTTCCCATTAATTTCCATTTAATTTTTCGACCGTTCCTATGGCAGCTATATGATATAGTGATCCGATTTAAAAAAAAAAAAACCGAAATTCAGAAATATATAAAAAAAAATGTTCCCAAGAGTAGAAGGTAAAATTTCAAAAAACACCGGAGCTAGAATTTTTTTACGTTTTTTTTTTGATCCTTCCTATGGGAGCTATAAGATATAGTTGTCCGATCCGTTTGGTTCCGACATATATACTACCTGCAATAGAAATACGACTTTTACGAAAGTTTCATCCCGATAGCTTTAAAACTGAGAGACTAGTTTGCGTAGAAACGGACGGACAGACGGACAGACGGACGGACAGACGGACAGACGGACAGACGGACATGGCTAGATCGACTCGTCTAGTGATGCTGATCAAGAATATATATACTTTATGGGGTCGGAAACGTCTCCTTCACTGCGTTGCAAACTTCTGACTGAAATCATAATACCCTCTGCAAGGGTATAATAATATTTCCAAGAGTAGAAGGTTTTATTTCAAAAAACATCGAAGCTAGAATTTTATTAACGTTTCCTTCCTATGGGAGCTATAAGATATAGTTGTCCGATCCGGTTGGTTCCTACTTATATACTACCTGCAATAGAAAGAAGACTTTTGGGAAAGTTTCATCGCGATAGCTTCAAAACTGAGAGACTAGTTTGCGTAGAAACGGACGGACAGACGGACGGACAGACGGACATGGCTAGATCGACTCGTCTAGTGATGCTGATCAAGAATATATATACTTTATGGGGTCGGAAATGTCTCCTTCACTGCGTTGCAAACTTCTGACTGACATCATAATACCCTCTGCACGGGTATAAAAAACATATACATTTTTGAATATCAACATTGGTAATTGTTATGATTTCGTATCGTATTGGTATGAATTCGTATTATTTTAATACGGAAAAAAGGAAATATGTAAAATTAAGGAGACAATATCAATCGGGTAATGTTCCGATTTTTTCTCTTTTTACACCTATCATTAAAAAGTTATGAGCAATTAAAGTTTGCCGATAAGCATTTCACCGTCTTCTTAGGCTGAGTAACGGGTATCTGATAGCCGAGGCACTTGACTTTAACGTTATTTCGCAATGTGTTTCGAGTTTATTAAGTTCCGAGCGAACTTTATACATAGGGAGTGTTGGGAATGGAACAAAATAGAAACTCTGTCCAGTCATACAAAAAAAGAAAGAGCAAAACAGCGCTTTAAAAAGCCTTGAGTTGCCCAAATCGAAAAATGTGCTGTTAAAGTGTTTAAGAAATATTTTATTTTTAATATTTGTTTCAGACATGCAATATACAGCCGACGTTTCGCACCCAAACTCTCACGATAGTACGTCCGATGGCAATTCTGAACATAATTCATCTGGCGACGAGGATTCACAAATGCGCTTGAGGCTGAAAAGAAAGTTGCAGCGCAATAGGACTTCGTTTTCTAATGAGCAAATTGACAGTCTAGAAAAAGGTAACTTATATTTAAGGTTTTAGTAAAAGAAAATTATTTTATTAATAATTAAAAAGTTATAAAAAAAATGTATCTAATTTTAGTACTGGTTCCTCAACTCACTTTTTAGTCCTTGTATGAAAAAATTATTGAACTTTTACAATATTTGTCTTAGTTTGAGAATCATTTGGAATTCTTTTTCGAGTGACACGACTTTGAGATACCCGCAACTAATTTATAATAAAAAAATATAATAAAAAATAAGCTTAGAAGCGCAAAAAAAACAAGTGGCTGTGCTATGTTTATAATATATATATTTTGGATTAACTATATATATTTGTAAATATTTTTTTAATTATAAAAATGTAATGCTTAGGGAACGCTACGTGTTCTGATAGCCCATTCGCATTAATCACCATCTACCGTTTCATTCTAAAACAAGAAAGGAAGCTACCTTCGGCCAGCCGAAGCTTATATACCCTTGCAGATAAAGTAAATACCTATAGTTTAATGCTCACTCGGTGCAGTTCCAGGAATTCCAAATTCAGCGTTTCTATTAAATTTTGGTTTTTAGGTTGTCAAGAATCAAAACGCCTACTTCCCACAAAGTTACAATGAATTTTCTTATATTTGTTTGAATATTCCTATGGGAGCCTTAAGATATAGTGGTCCGATCCGGCTCGCTCCGACATATGTACTACCTGCAATAGAAAGAAGACTTTCGGGAAAGTTTCAGCATAGACTCGGCTATTGGTGCTGACCAAGAATATATATACTTTATGTGGTCGGAAACGTCTCCTTCACTGCGTTGCAAACATCTGACTGAAATTATAATACCCTCTGCAAGGGTATAACAAGAAAGGAAGTTAGCTTTGGCATGCCGAAGTTTGTATACCCTTTTAGTTCAAATACATACTTACCGTTTATTTGGCCAAATGTATATGATTTTTTAAAGAGAAAAATACACAAAATGAAACAACATTTCAAACAGCTTAGGTAAAAATAATAGTAGAGTTTCCGCCCTTCGTTTTTAAAAGTTCGTTGTTGTAATTTTCATTGTAAATAGTGTGAAACAGAGTACTTTACCAACAAGACATATTAAAATTATCAAATTATCGAATTGCCTTTAAACGTTTTCAAAAATTTATAAAGAAACGCAACAGTTCGTATTTGTAATCGTAATACACCGAAATGTATATTTCTTTATTTTCCATGGGCCAATATAGGAGTTAAAATCTATAAAGAGCGATCAGAAAATTAAAACACTAAATAACATTGCGAGAGGTTTCTTGTAAATGATATTTTCTTTGCTTACTCTCTGTAGCTAACATATTTTAAAGCCGGGGAGAGAGCAGGGCAGATTTTCTGATCAGGATCCAATGTAGCTGAAGAAAAAGCAAAATATCCATAAAAAAGAAGGCATCACAATCGTAAACATTCATATTCCAAGTCTGCATCATCAGATATCGGAAACTATTACAGCTATTACAGTTTGCCACGCAGTGAAGAACTTTTGACTGAAACTATAATACCCTCTGCAATGTATAAAAATGTGGTAGCCGTGATTTTCTAGCCGACCACATAAAGTATATATATTCGTGATCACCACCAATAGCCATGTCAGTCAGTCCGTTTCTATGCGAACTAGTCTCTCAGTTTTAAAGCTATCGCGATGATAGTACTTACGTAGGAACAAGCCGGATCAGACGACTATCGGCAGGCCGAAGTTAACTTCCTTTCTTGTTAATAATAAAACAATTTATTGCGCTTAAAAGATCATCATTTTATTGAGTAGCATGTGTCTCATAGTCGTTGAAAACTTTTCTTTTGTGAACAGAAACTATTCAACATTTACAAAGTACTTTTGCTTTTAAAAATATATGAACAGTCCATTTTGGTATTGTTCAATAATTTAAGTATATCTTGTAACTGAACCTTTACTTGACGTGCATTACAGAATTTGAACGAACGCACTATCCGGATGTTTTTGCCCGCGAAAGACTTGCAGATAAAATTGGTTTGCCAGAGGCACGTATTCAGGTTTGTCTTTCAGTTTTGTTTAATTATATTCTGTTTGTAGCCCCTTTTTTTATACTCAATTTTTTTTAAGTTTTACGGATTTTTTTAAAGTTATTAAATCGATTTAAGCTTATGTACATTGTTTATTTTAAGTAATATGTGTTAAATTATTTTTAAAACTTTGCAGTTGTAAATTAGGCTGTCATATGTAGCATTCAATTGATTAACAGGAATCTACATTATACCTTTGGAGAAAATGTGAATTTTTTTAAATTTTTGTGTGGCAAAGCTTGCAACACACTGAAGGAGGTATTTCCGACCTTATAAAGTATTCTTCATAAGCATGACATGTCCGCTTCTACATATGTAAGCGTCAGTTCTAAAGTAACTTGCATGACTTTTTCCCAAAAGTCGTATTTCCATTGCAAGTATGAAACGAAACGACACGGACCTGACAATACAGTTGTCAAATCTCCCAGCAATTAATTGATTAAAAATTACTAGGAATACATGAAATTAAGCTAATTTTAGCAAGGCCAAGCTTGTTCACCAAATCATCCATATAAATAGATTTGGGCTAAAGACTATAACTTTAATTGTTAATAAGTGTACTTCGGTTATGTCTGAATCTTAGAGATTTAATTCGGTGCATGATTTTTGTAAGTGTAGTTTGTAATATAATTGTGAAGCATTTTAACTCCAGGAGTCAAGTGTAAGCTACGGAACGGATGGTTTAGAAATCACCCCTCAAACTTACTGTTCACCCCTATGGCTACTGTGTTGTTTATTACACAATGTTTTTGTCGTCAGAGTGAGATGAAATATTCATCGTTACGCTCTTGATTATTTGTTTAAGTGAATAAAAACAATTTGACTGTAAAAATACTTGAAACTCCTTGCAATTTTTCTCATTGAGTAGTAATAACGGGGGCGAATCAGGATGTACCCTGTTTGAAGGACTTAAGGGGAAATATGTCAGCTGGAGTGGGAGCTTCAACAATAACGCTGGACAATAAATGTCACAGTGGAAAATATTAAAGCGTAAAAGTATAGTAATTCTTTTTCACCCCTTTGTACTCAGTAAGTTTCGGTTCGCATTTTTCTTCTGTGTGATGTTACAAGTAAAACCGCATTCGAAGGGTGTCTGCGCACTTTAACTGAACTGCGTGACCAAAGTAATAGGTTCATTAGACTGTGAGTTTTTTTCAATAAACTAATTTTTTATAGGCAATTTTCCTTTCCCGAATTACTGAAAACTATATAAACTATACATTTGCAGGCATATAAAATGCTTTCATTTTCACATTAAAAAAAAAAAAAGTAACTGGTGCCTCTTTTCTAAGTAGTATAGTCTTGTGACTTGAATTGCATTTTTTTATATTTTTTAACGAAAATCCATAAGATATAGTGCTCGATCCGACATACACACTACCTTCACAGTGTTGCAAACATCTGATTGAAATTTTAACACTCTTTGCAAGTGTATTTAAAGATATTATTCATTATATTATATATATTATAAAAATGAAAAAGATTTTAGGTTACAAATTGCTAATTTCATACAACAAATTCCTCGTTCAGCGATATGACAATTTTTTTTAATAATTAGCAGAAAAACGGAATCGTGTCCCCGCAAAATCATTTTTATCTAGCTAAATCCTTCGGTTTTAACAATCCGTATACTTAGATCTAATATTAACTGCTACTATGCAGTGTTACTTATTCCTGTTCTTAGTTTGTTTCTGTTTTTTTTATCTATAGTCAAAGCTTAGGTTACCATCCCAGGGTATTCAAATTAATAAATTCTCTTGTACAATATTTATAACAGGTTTGGTTCTCAAACCGACGAGCCAAATGGCGACGGGAAGAAAAGATGCGAACTCAGAGGCGGTCGGCCGATAACGTGGGCGGCAGTGGTCGAGCCAGCACGTCAAATAATCCTTCAGGAACAGTGGTATCTTCCTCCGTAGCAACGTCGAATAACTCGACACCCGGCATTACCAGCTCAGCAATCAACGGAACGGAACGAACATCATCAGCTATAATTAGCAATACCCTACCCGAAACACCGAATGGACCAACTGTAAGAAGGTTTTTGATGATCCAAATGAGTTTACATTTGCAAATAACGTATTTAATAGGTTCTGGGTGGAGACGCCAGTGCAGCGCATACCAGCTCTGAGAGTCCACCACTTCAGGCTGTCGCCCCCCGGCTACCCTTGAACACTGGTTTCAACACTATGTACTCTTCTATCCCGCAACCCATAGCAACGATGGCTGAAAATTACAAGTAAGATTCCGAAGACATATGTATATAAAATACATTATTTATGTTATTTTTAATTTAAATAATAAGACAAAATGTGTCCTAAGCTGAAGAGTTGTGATTTGCTTCACTTACTATAAAAAATTGGAATCAAGTTAAGGATAAGAGAAAATGAATCAAGTCATCATAAGTATATATATAGTTTTTAAAGTTATTATTGATGGTTTTGAATGGTATTTTTGCTTAAAAAAATGAAATAATTTTAAATATTAAAATGTTATGTTATTCTGATTGGAATCCGATATATTGTATTGACATGTTTCATCATGCAACAGCTCATCATTGGGATCGATGACGCCGTCGTGCTTGCAGCAACGAGACGCCTATCCATATATGTTTCACGATCCATTATCACTGGGATCTCCCTATGTACCACCCCACCACCGAAATTCAGCTTGCAATCCTGCGGCTGCGCACCAACAGCCACCTCAGCATGGTGTTTATGCCAACAGTCCAATGGGATCATCAAATACAGGTAAAGTTGTGCCTGTTCTGAAGTTGTATCTTCGAGTATTTATAATGTTACATGTTTTCCAGGTGTTATTTCTGCAGGCGTTTCGGTGCCTGTCCAGATTTCAACGCAAAATGTTTCTGACCTTACGGGAAGTAATTACTGGCCACGTCTTCAGTGATCGTCAATCTTTAATTTGCCATCAGATCTTTTATCAAAGGCAACTGCCGCTGCAATCGCTGCCGCACATGCAGTTGAGGAAAAGCATCAACACCAAAAAGCGCATTCAGTTGTTACTATGCAAACTACAAACAGCAACAATAACCCACCGGGTTTGAATAGTCAGACAATGTGCTGTTCATCAAGATATTTAGACATGAACGTGGGGGCGGGGAAGGATGTAGATGTTGTCATAGGCCAAGGTCTTATAGTTCCCATATCACCACGTATTCCAAGCAAATCGGAGTCATTTAGCAGTCCCAACGCGAGCCATCGGGATTTTCATATAATTTAAAGAGGCACAAGTCCGACCTTATTGCACATTCAAAGAGCGAACAAGCAAGACATTTTAAATAAACTCGATTTTAAAGCGACATTACATTCAAGATCTTTTTAATAAAGTTGATTTTTATTGATACTGTTGTTTCTAAATAAATACAAGTTCCAGATTTTACAAGTTTTCTGTGGCCTCCTTACACGCTTTTTAGTAAATTAAGGCCAACAAATCGCATCGACTTTTCGTAAGCAAATATCTCCATATTTCTTTACCTCCTCTATTTTTAATTCCGTATCTGCTAAGAGTTTTATTTTAGCACTTTTTATTTATTTCACCGACAACAAATTGTAAACGACAAGTAAAATTTATATATTAAATGTTAAAAACTAATTTTCTGATTATCTTTTATCTATCTATTTATAAAACTACTGATATTTATATGCATAAACATAAATATGGCTGACAAATATTTTGACAATCTGTGGGCCTCGTGAGTTTTTTTTAATATGTTTGCGCAGACGTATGAGATGTGAATGTTCAATCCCAATTGTTTAGCACATAAAGTATCAGAGATCTCATACCAATAAATTTGGTAAAATCAATTAGGGATATTAATGATGATCCTGATCAAGAACACAAGTACTTTCTAGAGTTCGTAACTCTTTTCCTGGATATTTACTTACTCTTTATACTTTACTTTACAAAAATATTGTAACTCTCAACTATTAAAAGCGCCCGTTGCGCCTATTCCCTTAAAAATGGACAAAAATATATTTTATGTTTTTAATATTGTTATCTCCTACAAGAAATCAAAAAATAGTTAGGGACAGCTTTTTTGTTATCAAGCATTATAATAATTTCATTTTAAGTAAAAATATGTAATATGCGGATACAGAATATTTTAATTACCTATTTAAAAAAAAAATTTAATTTTAAAAATTATTTTCTTGGAAAAAAAAATAAAAGCGAATATTAATTTTTCCTGTTTAACATGCAACAAATTTCATTAAAAGCTGAGCCGTAAAAACGATTTAAAATAAATGTTTTTACGGCGTATTTTATAAAACTTTAAGATATTATTTAAATATAAAAGGAATCTTGTTTTTATACCCTTGCAGTTATTAGTAAAATGATCTAGTCAATAGAGGCAGATATCAGATATATTCATTCCAAAAAGGACGCCAAAAAAACAACGAAGGTAAACTTAGTCCCAGTTAATCTGATTAAAAATAGAAAAAATCGAAATGGAAAGTTTCGTGTTGATACTTTTCAAAATGAGCAAGCCCGTCAGGTGATGCTGTTTAAAAATATATATGTATACTTTATAGGGAAGACATTTTCTTCGCTGCCTTATAAACATCTGACCGAATTTACAATCCTGCAAGTGTATAAAAATAACTTATACAGAAATATCGTAATACATGCACATACAACCCTTTATCAACATTGTAAATAAGTGAAAACCAAATAATAGTTATTAAAAGTGACCCCAAGTTTATCGGATTGCATTATAGGAAAGAAACACATGGCTTAATTACAAACAAAAATTAAAATTTCATTACTAGATGACTGTGTTTTTAAATAATGATTAAAAAATGGTCTTTTATTTTCCATTAATATTCATTTTTTTATTTTAAAACGAGAAAACAGATTTACAGAAAAATTGTAATTGTGAGCAATTTTTCAACAATAATTATACCGTTTGTGCAAGAAAAGTTTTGTTGTTGAACGAATACATATAATAACATATGATCGAAGAGAATTACAACGAACTTGACACCAATAAAGGAAATACGCCAACATCTCATCCAAATAAACACACCTCCCCAAAAAGCCTTCAGGTTTATATAATAAAAGTCGTATATATATTATGTATGGTTCAAATTTATATTTAGAACAAATTAATGTAACAATTCAGAATATACAGATGTATCTGATGTTCTTAAGAAGGATTTAATAAAATCGTACATCAATGTAGAAGGTCGGTTTTCCATTTATTCTCTTTGAAACACTTATTTCACGTCCACTGCATTAAAAACTCTAGCTCCAGGTGGTAGGACAAGGACTATCAGATACCCGTTACTCAGCGAAAGGAAGACCGAAAGAGATGGAGATATGCATACAGCATAGCGACTGCTCAAATACTATTATTTTATTTCACGTTCGATATGTATGTATTAATAAACACGACTAAATTGCGTTTATTTTTCTCCGGAATCTTTAAAAAAAGTGGTCGTCAGACTCATTTTAAGGCGTTTGTGGGCGTTAGAGTGGGCTTCCTTATACCTGTTACATACTTTTACACGAATACAATATAGCCTTTTACTCTACGAGTCTGTCTGTCTGTATGAACGCTGAGATCTCGGAAACTACAAAAGATAGAAAGATGGAATTACCCACACATATTTTTTGACTTCCTACGCAGCGCAAGTTTGTTTCACCAAAGCACATTGGGCTAGCGAGACGATTTTTCGACGAAAATTAAAGTTTTAAAGCTAGGTTCTTCAAATTTGGTACGTATGATAGTGTCGATGCACATAAAAATATATCTAAGTTTCAGACCGATGAGATAGGTTTCCTCTTATTGATACTTGTACGGTAATAAATAATGCTAGCACTCGTTTAATTCAACAAATGTTTTTAATTCATGTTTTAAACACTTAACCTTAATATTAATAAGTAAAAAATTACAATGCATTCAAAATGACTATGAATAAGTATTTTACATTTAACAAGAAAGGAAGCTACCTTCGGCCAGCCGAAGCTTATATAGCCTTGCAGATAAAGTAATGCTCACTCGGTGCAGTTCCAGGGATTCCAGATTCAGCGTTTCTATTTTCAAGAATCAAAACGCCTACTTCCTACAATGTTATAATGAATTTTCTTATATTTGTTTGAATATTTCTATGGGAGCCTTAAGATATAGTGGTCCAATCCGGCCCGCTCCGACATATGTACTACCTGCAACAGAAAGAAGACTTTCGGGAAAGTTTCATCGCGATAGCTTTAAAACTGAGAGACTAGTTCGCATAGAAACGGACAGACGGACAGACAGACGGACAGACGGACATGGCTAGATAGACTCGGCTATTGGTGCTGATCAAGAATATATATACTTTATGTGGTCGGAAACGTCTTCTTCACTGCATTGCAAACATCTGACTAAAATTATAATACCCTCTACAAGGGTATACAAATGTTCCTAACAGTCGTCTTCTACATCAATTAATCAATGTAAAGGTGAAAGCTTCTCACTTTGGTGTTGATTTCATCCTTTTTCTCGAAACGGCAGATGCGCTACGATTGTTTTGTATGTACACACAAAAAAAAAACTTGGTAAAATCAACTGTAATAATTGTCAAACAGGCCCCAACCAGCAAAATTGTCAATTCTACTAAGTAAATAGTCATTTCACAACAACAAAATACACACAATTAGCAAAGACACAAACCCAAAGCAAAAACAAAATACACGTAACTATTTTAATAGTTACGTAACTATCTTTGTTGGTCAATTTTACCAAGCAAATTTTTTTGTGTGTAGATATCAAGCAATTGCTCATAGGCGAACTCAACCACAGCTACAATATGTGGGATTTATACATATCGGGGCAAAATGGAGCAAAAAAGCTTAATAAAATTAGTATATGTATATACACTTTGCACTTTAATGACACATAGTTACTTTTTGGTACAAGTTGGCACAAAATTTATTATAATCTACAACAGACGGGTAGCTTTTTTCTCCTTTTGGACAACATCAATAAACGCACACAAAGAACACATTATCAAACATGAACAAAGACTTTTTTAGACTTTCTTTTCCATAATTTTAGTACTTCAGTAATTTTAAACCACAACAATTTTGGCACGCTCGTAAGTAAACAAAATCTTTCCCGCGCTTTTTAGTTTCGCACGCATGCAATCAAACAGCCGACTTTGAAGGGCTGCCAAAATTTCAGGAATGCATCAAAACAATTAAAATTTTTTGATTCATTTTAGTCAAAGTATATACTATTCAAATTTTATTATTAAAAAAGGTTTACTTTCTATGAAAAATTTGAGGTAATACACAAAATTGTATAGGGCAGAGGTCTGTAAGTTGAGACACTCAATTTTCTACTAAGAAAATTGTTTTTATTTTCTTTTTGTAGTCCTTTTTAGTGACAAAACTTTTGGGGAAAACATTATAAGCCAGGCTCTAGCCAGATTTAAGCTGTGAGAGTCGTGTACCATTTTTCACCAAAAAAGTTTTTGTCTACTTTTTTCCAAATTCCATTTAAAATTAATAACGTCCTTAAATTAACTTGGTAAGAGATTTAAAACATAAGTATATTAACTGCTAACAAATTAAAAAAAAGAATCAGCTTAATGTGACAGTCAAAGTTGAGACACCCGTTTTTCATACAAAAAGGCCTTAGGCCAACAGAGGTCGCTTTCTGCCTAGTACATTTCTTTGATATTAGGGGAAAAGTGAATGTTCAAAGAGCCTTTTGATTTTAATTGTTATTGGGTCTAAGTTCTTAAGGGGGGAGATACATATAGAACTGCAAATTTGTCAAGTTTTTCATGATTTTTTTTAAACAATAAGGGTTTGTGCGGGAAGTTTGCAACTTGGCATGTTGACATGTTGGCATAGTTCTTATATAATTTAAACCAAATTTAATTTTTTTATATCTTTTAAAATGGCGACCGTGGGAATTTTTTTGTCAGTCCTTTTTTATAAAAAGTAGGCCAGCTGCGGATCGTCTTCAGGTCGCTGTGTAGATCCGATTTTTGTGAAACCAAATTTATTTTGTTGAGAAATAATGTAGAAACTGTCTGAACCTAACTTACATAGAATATCTTTTTTCTTATTTTTCTTGTTGTTTTTGCTTTACATAAAATACTTCAACGTACAAATTTCGACACAAAGTAGGTTCAGACAGTGGGCCATTTCATTACAAACATTTCCGTAAAAGCAGCATGATGATCGAAGCATTACTTTTTGAGATACACGATCCGCAGCTGAGAAAAACATGGTTTCGAGAAAAACGCATTTAAAGTAATGAAATATATCTACTGCACAAGGAAGATGGGTGCCGTCATACTGGAATAAGTTCCAAAATAGTTCGAATTTCTTCGTGAAACTTTCATGACACATTCTTAAAGAGTTATACTACCAAAAATAATTTTTCAGTTTTCCCTAAGGAAAAAAAATATTTTTTTGGTTTTTTTAAAGCTAATAGACTAACCTTTCGATCAGTACCAAATGCGTTAAGTTTCATAAGTGAATGTCGAAATGGCAGATTAAAAACAAAAGGTGTACCAACCTACAGACCTCTCCCCTATGCTTTGGAAAAAAGTAATAGGTTAATGAAAAGAATTCATAGCGAATTCCTCAATGGAGATCCCACTTTGAATCCAGTGAACTGGGCTCTATTTGCGAAAAATAGAATGGTATTTTTCAAACTTACCCATTGACCGAAAGCCTACTTTTGGACTTAAAAAATGGTATCGCTGGGTCATCTATGGTCTGAAAGCATCATTTTTATACCCGTTACTCGTAGAGTAAAAGGGTATATTAGATTCGTGCAAAAGTATGTAACAGGTAGAAGGAAGCGTTTCCGACCCTACACTCAAAAAAAATCGCCCTGAATTTTAGAAAATCGCCATACTTTTTAAGCCAAAGGCAGCTCGCCTTGCCTTTTAGAAAAAATATTTATAAAAATTAGAAAAAAAATTTCTTAAATTTAGGGTTAGTTTTTGCAAAATTGAATAAGAAGAAGAAAAAAAAATCGGGGAATCGGGAGTTATGCCGACTCCAGCCCTCTGTCGGTGTGGGGTGTTGTTGTTGGGTTTCCCGTTTCTCAACTTATTTTTCTCTCCTTTATTTAAACACATGGATGACTTCACGATGTTTGTACATAAACACACTTTT